GTTAGAAATGCTCTGATATTCCTTTATCCTTGGTTTTGAATCTTGATGTCAAACTTGTGTCCATTAATTCTTTTCTTGGTTTTGTCAGATTTGTCCTAAGTAGAATCCAGAGGGAGATGGAAGACTATGTGAAGATACCCCTAATCTTGAATGTCTGCTTGTTGGGGCTTATGATGGCACTTTTTGTGTAGATATGGGGACAAATTAGACATGTGAGTTTGTTGCAGAGTCTGGTACCCATGTTGGTGTTATGTATTTTTGGTTCTTGTTGCTTGTGACGATCTGCTTCGAAGTCAGGTAGTTGTGTGTACAAATCTGCTAACTAGTGCCTGAGAAAATGAGGTGTCATTTGCAGAGATGGGCTATTTAGCATATTAATCAAGTATTTCAGTGAATTGAGATGTGAGCTGTAGATGACAATCAGTGGTACTCTTTTAATAGATAGTGAGGCATAATCAAATAAGTTACCTTAAAATTATAATGCAGGGGATGTATTGGGACTTTTTTCCCCTTTGCTAAACTGGGTGAGGGTATGTGATGCATCCAGCCCGCGGGCCATGAGTTTGACACCCGTTATAAGGTAATAAAGAAGTCCCTGCAGATTTTACACCACTAACAATTACCGACTATAGGGGGCAGTGTTCATCTCCATTTCCAGACCATTAAGCCAGTGCTGTCTGAAGACATTTCTGCAGTCATGTGGCCAACATGATGTCATGGAGCACTGTTACCTTCCCACCGAAGTGATACCCATCTACTGTATCTACTCAAATTTGCATGCTTTCAAACTTTTAAATTGGCAGGAGCTGAGGTGAGGACGGGTGCTCATCCAATCACGTGGCACTTAGGTCTTGAACCTGTGCTGCCATCTTTCTAGCCGACAAGCCCAGCGTCTTCACCGCTGAGCCACCATGTCACCCATTTAAAAATAATAATCAACATTAATTCATTATTAATGAATGTGATAATAATTACTTGTTCAATAGATCATTAAATAAGTAGGGGAAGAACAGTTTTTGATACAAATTAGTCTTCCTTCCTTCCTTCCTTCCCTTCCCTTCCTCCTTTCCCTCCCTATCTCACTATCCAAAACAATTATGGGAAGTAAATAAAGTGGATTATTTCTAGGAAATGAAAAGGGAATTCTTCAACGCCACATTCTCCCAAGTTCTCTCCTTGGATCCCACAAGAATATATCAGACAGAAGCATACAATCTGGTTAATTTTTTTCCTAAAATTATATAGGATATGGAAACACCCAGATCACTTATATGTACTGCCCAAAATATATTTTTTAAAAGGCAATGCTGGGCATCCCATTGTTTCAAATATTGGAACTCTAATAATTGATAACTAATAGAAAAAGACCCAGTTTGGTCTAGTGGTTAAGGCATCAGGCTAGAAACTGGGAAACTCTGAGTTCTAGTTCCATTTTAGGCATGAAAAGCAGCTGTGTAACTTTGGGCCAGTCATTCTTTCTCAATCCAACCCACCTGATCTTTGCCATATTGAGTTATTTATAAAAATAATCAAAGCAAGATGTAAAAAATTGGAACATCAGGTTTCATGATTTATGCCATCAGCATTCCTACATACATAAGACACTACAGACTTCCTAAGAAAAGTCAACCCCACTCCTCCGAATTTTTGACACCATAAATAAAAAAAAGCTGTCTTGAGAGAATCATCTTTGCCAAGCTTTTGACTTATTGGGAATTATTGGCCAAGAATACCAAATGGGTGCCAATGCTGGTCTCAAAGATGGATGATGTTCTAAAGATCAGTGTTGTTCTTTCATCTTTTCTGATTTCCTCCAGACCTCTTGCTAGCTCGGCAGTGGTAACTTTTCATTAACCTCCAACTCTTTGGTGTAGCTTGAAAACAGAAGCAAAAATAGGCAATAGCTTTGTGTGCTAATTCTTGATCTGTTGAATCTGGATAGTAAATTTGGTACAAATAGTATATGAAAGGAATGGCAATTTGTGGCCATTCAGACCAGTGGCAGGATTCAAATTGTTTTAATACCAGTTCTGTGGGCATGGCTTGTTGGGTGTGGCTGGGGAAAGATACTATAAAATCTCCATTCAGAAGTGGTATTTGCCGGTTCTCCAAACTGCTCAAAATTTCCGCTACTGGTTCTCCAGAACTGGTCAGAACCTGCTGAATACCACCTCTGATTCAGACAGTGCAGAAATAGGGATCCACAATCTCTTACCATGCAGAGCAACATTGAAAGAACTACAGGTTCTCTGCAGTACTGCAAAATTCTTCTCTTGGGTAGGTGGGACATGAATAGTTCTACAGTTCTACTTCTGCCATATTGCTTTCCAATATTTGTGTGTATTGATCAATAATAATAATATGCATGTTTTGTGTCATTTATTTTGGCTATATCTTTCATGACTTGTATCTTTCTTTAGTATGTATCAGTTATGCATATTAAAAGCAACTCTCCTTTCTCATCTGCCATCAGCTGATGTCTTTGGAGATGGTTGAGAAGTGTTTGGGTCACAATTCTACGCATCTCGAGGGAATCCCATGGGGAATGCCTGCAATATTGGAGGATGAATAGCTGAAGATAGATACAATCATGTCTCTATTAAATATAAAAATAATCAATTACAGATTTTTCAGATCAGTTAAGAGTTTCCCTGGAATGAATTCCTTATAAATCAAGGTGGTTTTTTCTCTCTCTCCATATTTAGAACTTTCGGTGCATGGTTTGTTTTTTAATTCCCAGAGGTCAACATTTGGATTATTTTGGTTATCTAACTTCACTTCAATTATTTGGTTACCTTTCTTTAATGGTCACTTTTGAGTCATTGGCCACTGCATTTTGGAAATGTTTTCTGTAACAAAGAATGTTCTTTCTGCGCCAACTCAGAAAGCTCAAACTGCCCAAGGAGCTGCTGATACAGTTCTTCAGAGGAATTATTGAGTCTGTCATCTGCACCTCTATAACTGTCTGGTTTGGTTCTGCAACTCAACAGAACAGACACAGACTTCAGAGCAGGGGTGGGATTCCACCAGTTTGCACCTATTCGCTAGAACCGGTTGTTAACATTCTAATCAGTTCGGAGAACCGGTTGTTAGAAGAAATTACTGGCCTAATCCTGTAAGGGATGCAGGAAGGAAACATTCCGGTGTTGCTTACAGAAACTGCCTCTCCATTAACCCTTATTACATTCTTGGCAGGACTAAACTTCCTGTCTCAGGAACGTCTCTAGAGGTTTTAACTTTCTTTCCTTTGCTGGTACTTTGCTTGTGTGGAGTGACCATTCAAAGTTACAATGGCACTGAAAAAAGTGAGTTATGACCATTTTTCACATTTATGACTGTTGCAGCATCAGTCATGAGAGGCCAGGCGAGGAGATGCGTGCCTCGATGTGAGTGATATTGAGTTGGCCACACCGAGCCAGTCCCATGACCACCAAGCTACACCCACCAACTTAGCCACACCCACAGAACCGGTTGTTAAAAAATTTGAATCCCACCCCTGCTTCAGAGGATAATTAATGCCTTCCATCGAGGAGCTGCATACTGCACAAGTCAAAAAGCGGGCTGTGAAAATATCTACAGACCCCTCACATCCCGGACATAAACTGTTTCAACTCCTACCCTCAAAACGATGCTATAGAGCACTGCACCCCAGAACAACTAGACACAAGGACAGTTTTTCCCCGAAAGCCATCACTCTGCTAAACAAATAATTCCCTCAACACTGTTCAACTATTACAAAGTCTGCATTACTATCACTATTAATCTTCTCATCACTCATCCCCTCCCACTTGTGACTGTATGACTGCAACTTTGTCACTTGTATCCTTACGATTTATATTGACCGTTTCCTAGTATGATTTGATTGCTTATTGTACTCTATGGCTATTATTAAGTGTCGTACCTGATGATTCTTGACTCTTGATGAATGTATCTTTTCTTTTATGTACACTGAGAACATCTGCACCAAGACAAATTCCTTATGTGTCCAACCACACTTGGCCAATTAAGAATTCTATTCTATTCTATTCTATTCTATTCTATTCTATTCTATTCTATTCTATTCTATTCTCTATAAAATACTGGAGAGTGGTTCTCTTCCAACCATTTGTTATCCTCAAAGATGTCTTGTTCAGAGGCAAAGTTACTTCATTTCCAATCACTTTGACAACAGGCCAATTCCAAAGTTGAGGTGACCTCCAAGTTGACCTTGGAAAGTGAAGATGGCAGTCCATCATCATGTCCATTCCACTCTCCCTAGCTTTTGACCCACATTTTGGCCTTTTCTCCTTGATCCTCAACCTCTTAATGACTCTGGAAGATACCCCAAACTTGCACACCCATGGATACTACAATATTATATTATGGAAGGTCTTCTTTATCCAATTATTATTTTCCAAACTTAGGTTTTTTAAAAAAAAAACCTCCCACCCCCTACCCTCATTCCCACCCCCGCCCCACGGGCCAACGCAGCTCCTGTTCTTCAGTTCTTTACACCCCCACGAAGTTATCGAAAGCGAGATACGCGCCATCATCCCATTTCAGGCACTGGAGTAAAGCTTTCACCGTCCACATTAGGCTGCTGCAGAACTTAATGAAACGGTCCTTCTAAGTTCATGGACTCGATGGGAAAGGTTGTCTTTGCACCTCTGTCCCACCCCCATTTTGGGGGAGGGGCCGGGAAAGGAGTAACTCTCGGAGCAATGAAGTCGCAGCTCCCAAAGTAGCACCCGGTGAGGAGGGAGAGAGGTGGAGTCCGGAGAGCGCGCAAGACCACGCGGAGGGAGTGCGGCGGACCCAGAGTGGGCGAGGCGACGCGGCTTTTCGTCCGGCCGCAGCCAAGACTCCGCGCGGGGGGAGGGGGAATTGTAAAAAGCCCCCGTGGTAAAAAGCGCGCGGCTGCAAGACGGGCAGCGCCGGCTCGACGACCGCATGTCCCTCTGGCTGCGTGAGGCTGCCCGCGCCAAGGAAGGTCGCCGCGAGTCCCGAGAACCTGGGACGGGATGCAGCTCTCGCTGCCGCTGCTGCTCTTCTCAACCTGCTGGTGGACCTTGGGGCCGGTGAGTAGGGAATCCTTGGGCCGGTGAGCCTCGCCTTCTCAGGCTGGGTCCCGGCTCGGAAGAGTCCGAGCTTCGGAGCATATGCAGAGAGCTCCTTTCCTGCGGCTTCTGCGAGAAAAGGGCGCGTTGGCTAAGATTCTGCGACCCTTTCAGCAGTGCTTTAGGGGTGGGGTGGGGCGCCTCGGATATTGCCTTCTGCGCTTCTTTTGGAAGGAAACCTATGGGGGAAGGAGGAGGAAAACGGGTTCACGCTGGCTCCCGTTTGTTCTCCGGTTGTGGGGCTGATTCTGCAACTTGGGCCGCCCCCCTTAACGTGCGGTATCAACTTATTCCCCCCACACCTCGCATCCGCTTAGTATGTCACACACACACACCGAATAGTTTTGCTATTAATGGTTTATGCTAATAGTTCTCACTTTTTAGAATTGCTGTTTATTCTTATATCCCGTTAAAAAAAGGGGGGGCGAACGGGTCTCCTCAGGCCGTGCTGGATTACAATTCCCGTTATTCCCTTTTATTTCAGGCTGGGGATGATGCACAGGCCCATTTGCAGGGTCCCCGGTTGAGGGTTTGGTTATACTAGTGGTCGACTCTTTAAATTTGAGCACAGGAATAAAAGCCAGCTAAGTTTGAATCTGTATCGGGCTGGCGAATTGGACTAAAATGAATTTAGTAAAGAATTTCTTTAAGGTGCACCAGGCTTCATCAGTCCCAGTGTCTATTGTAACTCCTGAGAAAAGCTGGTTCGATTTTAATTCGATTTTAATTGATGCCGGCGAAATTACTATAAACAACGGGATGCCCTATTTCAAGGAGTTTTAAATCCCACACATGCATCAGCTTTCAGGATCGTTTAAAGCCAAAGGATCTGACCACGAATGTTTTGTATTCAGAAATACAACGGTAAAAGAGAGGCAAAAGGGTGGAGTTTTTCACAAGCTCTTCTTTGTTTATGGATGGAGTGGAAATTCTGTACTACCTTAAGACAGAAATTCTATCCCTTTTAATGGTCAATTTGATTTTTTGGGTATGTGTAAATTTTGGTGCAATTATGGCATGAAGTTGTGAGTACTAATGAACTTTAAAACAGCTGCAGCATGTGATTTTTGCCAAGCGTTTACAAAATACAAAATATTAAGGAAAAGAAGACTAAGCTAAGGATATAAAAGATGTATGTTTTCTGGAGAGATCAGTCAGATTCTCTTTTTTCATTGTTTGTTGCCTGTTTTAATTAACCAAAGCAGGGTTAAGTAGAGTTTGTACCTGCAGCAGAATAAAGTATTAGGATTCATTGACCCAATCTTGCATATGGGATGGCTGTTAAAAAAATTCAAGGGTCATCCCTGCCTTTAACCAGAGTGAAGACATCTCCAAATAGGTAATAACTTTTATAATAATTATTAGAAGGAGGAGGAAGAAGCCCATGAGATTTTGAGGTTCAATCTATATCAAGATTTTGAGAATTATGATGCAACAATGTTTTATGTCCTTTTATAATCCTTGAAAGCAAAAAAAATCCCAAATGCAATAAAAAATTTGTCTTGGTATAGTTTTCTATTTGCAAAGAGATAGTCTTTCCTGCCATTTGGTTTCTATCATGATAACCTCATTCTATGATATTAATTGTCCTAAACTTGAGAGATTATGAAAAAATTACATTAGTTCAATGATTATTGTTAAATTTTATACAAACCTTTTGGCTGTTTGTATTCCTTTTTTGTGTAGTGTATGATACATACATTCCAGAGTTTTTAGTTTTGTTTATGAACTTCCTATAAAGCTAAAGTCTCTTTTGAGTCAAAGTTGATTTGATGACTTCATAGATAGGTCCTTCTAGTTTTATTAGCTGCAGTATGCAATGGCTTCCTATTCTCTTCTTTCAAGATGATTTTTAAAACTTGCCACTCTAACTTTCAGCCTTACGGTTTTTTGATAGTCTCCCATCCAACCGTTAACCAAACCAACCCAAATTAGCTTTTTGACATGGCCAGGCTTGGTTAAATAGGTGTGCACTGAAATACTATTGCACCTAAAGCAAAAAAAAAAAAAAGTTCACATCATTTCTCAAACAGGATTTTTTTAAAAAAGTAAACAATGCAAACATAGTATAATTGCTTACCACAATTGCTCTGTGATATTTTATGGTAAAGCTAATCTTTTTAAAAATATTTTTCAGTTGTCACATATGGTACTTAGACATGTTTTCACTTTAAAGCAAGGCACTCCTTGATAGGTATTTGACAAGCTGATACCATTGTTAATCTCTGTAAATTGATAATTTGGTGTTTGAAATAGTATATTGAGATGTGTCTGAGCTCTGTGAACAAGTTGATGAGATGCTGATTATTTAAACAAAGAAATAGTTGTGTTATGTGGATGTAAGAGGTGTTACTTTTTTAATGGTTATATGTTTGAAGTACAACCCCAAAAAGTTTAACTGAAGTTTAGAGCTTAGTCATCTTAATAAATGACCAATAAATCCAGAACATCTCTGGATTTTCTTCAGTAATAAAAATAAAAAATGGTCCCACTCCACTGGAATAACCAAAATCTTCTCATTTTTCAGTCCAAACAAGGAGAAAATAGACAAAAATATAGAATCCAAGCAAATTGGGCAATACACTTCTCTCTTATTGAAGAGGAGGGAGAAGTAGACAAAATCTATCCCTGTTAGAAAGCCAACATTGCTCTTAAATGATTTTCTAAGGTCTCTGAAGTTCCAGCACAGAAATGCAGAAAAAGATTGTTTATAAACTCAGCAAAGTTTTACTTTTGCAAAAAGAAGCCTCTATATTTTGCAGTCTGTTATGCTATAGCAAACTCAAAGCTAAATTGGATCATTTCTTAAGTTGACATCAGAATTGAATCAATGTTTTCACTGCTACAACATTCTTTTGTAGACATCTAATTATTTTTAACAAGCTTCTGATTTTTTTTTTACATTAAGCAATTTTTAAAAAATCAGCTTTAAAGTTTCTCTGATTGATTGTTGTCATTGCATTTTACAGAATATTTTAAATTTTCCAAGGAAAAAGAACTGTTCTTTTTGTAGTTCGGGCTTTTATGCTGGAAGGACATCTGTGCAGAAATTAACAAGACATTGGTTTTGTAGGTACAAAATCCTTAATCAGCCAATTAGAAATCCTGAATAAGTATTTATATAATATGCCAGACTTCACTTCTTTAACATTAAACTACATTTTTGTAGCTTATTGTATTGTTACAAAACTATTTTGTTAGTTTATGACTTGTTTGGACCCAGAGAACAGAATAGTTTGATAACTTAGGTTAAACTATGTGTAAGTGCAGTTTCTGAGCGTGGAATTATTTGGTTCAAAATTTGACATAAAGGTTAAAAAAAACCAAAGTCTTTCTTGGACTGGATCAACAAATCATGGCTGTAAACACAAAAACAACAATGAGAAAAGTCTGGTTCTTTGTTGTCATCTAGTGTTCATCTAGGTTTTGCCAGTAGTCCTGATTTAGAATAAGATAATGTTTACATTTAAAGAGATTTCAAACTTTCTTATCCATTCCTCTCCTTAATGTAGGATTTACAATATAGTAATTGTCCCTCTGGTTGTACAGATGGACTCCCTACTTATCAGAAATTAAGTCTTGACTTCCACAGTTTCCTCTAAAACAAAGAATAGTGTAGAAAATATGAGATCCCGAGGTATTGAGTTGTGGAAATCTAACTCATAGTCATTAGATTAGTCAGTCATGCCATGTCTCATTTGAACTACAGCACATATCTAAAGCATGGAAAAGCCAGGCTTTACTCTGGTTTAATGTTGGAATTGGGAAGAGCATCAGTGGAGGGTGGGAGAGAGCAAAAACATGGCAAGAGATTCATGTTTTTCAGTTATTTTAAGTAGAAGTTAAAATTGCTTTAGCTACTTGCTTGCAACTACTGTACTCTGTAGTAATAATTGCAGAGCAACACTTAATTCTTTGATACTTGAGACAAAGAATTGAGAAAATACTTGTGTCTCTCAGGCATGACCAGAAATTACAGTTCTAGATATTTTGTGGTGTATTGACAACATTCTACTACATAGGCTTAAGTTTGGTTTGCAGAAGACAAAACATTGTCCCATGTGTGGTATAACTCAGTATTTGTCTCTCTGCTCTTTCTTATTTATTTTTTTATGCATTTAAGCCAGTGTTGACTCCTAGGTACTACCTAGACAGGTCCCTGCAGTTTTCTCGGCAATGTTTTTGAAAATGGCTTGCCATTGCTTTCTTCCCAGAGCTGAGGGAGAATGGCTGGCCCAGAGCCACCCAGATGGATTTGTGCCAGGAGGTGGGACTAGAGCTCCCAGTTTCCAATTTCTGTTTTGGTGCTTTGACTTGTACACCAGATTGACTTTCACCAAAGCTGTCCCTCTGCTTACTGCCTTTAAAGAAACAGTTCTCAGAATGAGGTGGGTACTTCTTTGGTATTCCAGATGAGGATATAATGGTTATAATATAGATGTCTGCAGAGGGGGATTTTAAGGAAGTCAGTTTAATGGCTGAGGCCACAATTCTCTGCCCATTTTTCTACACACACACAAACACACACACACACACACACACACAAACACTATAAATGCTTTACGTAAAGCTGTGAGACATTTTGGTTGACACTTCTAAATAACTGTGGGGTCCTGATTGTCACCTGATGTTTTACTTTCCAATTTAGGAATCTACAACGTCCAAAACAGCGTCCCTTAATCCAGCTGTGCAAAATTTTATGTGCTGAAATTTGTATTTGGTGAAAGACAGCTAGATGTGCTTAACCAGTCTATTTAACCAGTCTATTTAATAAATCACAGTGCATGGGTTTGCACAACCACCAGTCATTATTTGGTTTGTTTAATCTTGGCTATGGTGGTATGTTCACAAAACTGGTTTAGAATGATATGAGAAGCCAACCATATTGGTTAAGAGACTGGCTTTTAACTGAAAATCAGATGTGTAAGTCATGTTTTCTTGGACATTTTCGGGAGCTTCCTTTTAGAATCAGATATTTTTTATCGCAGAATTAATGAATTCCCAATTGAAATGTAAGAAATCAAACTGATACTGCTACAGCAATAGGTAATCCTCATTTAGCTGTTCAAAGTTACAATCACATTGAGATGACTTATGATAACTCCTCCCACTTACAACCATTGCAGCACTCCTGTAGTCACATGATGACTGTATGACTAACCTTGTTGCTTGTAACCTAACGATTTTTATTGACTGTTTCCTAATATGATTTGATTGCTTATTGTACCCTATGACGATGATCACTGCTCAAAAAAATAAAGGGAACACTTAAACAACACAATGTAACTCCAAGTCAATCACACTTCTGTGAAATCAAACTGTCTACTTAGGTAGCAACACTGACTGAGAGCATTTGCATCAAGACAAATTCCTTGTATGTCCAACCACACTTGGCCAATTAAGAATTCTACCATATGATCAAATTTTGGGCATTTGGCAACCGGCATATATTATTTACAACAGGGTCATGGCAGCATCTTGGGATGATGGCATCACCATTTGAAACTTTCTCAGCTGGCTTCCGACATGCAAAGTCAATGGGAAAAGCCCAATTTACTTAATGGCTGAATAATTTGAGAACTGCAATGATTCGCTTAATAACCATGGCAAAAAATGTTAGTATAAACCACCTTCCTTAGCAATGGGAATTGAGCCCAATTAAGCTGCAAGCCGAGGACTATCTATAGTTGGATTCTCTAATCCTTTTAGTCTTCTAAGCATTTTGAAGATATTTCAGTGTGACATATAATGTAAAACTTTTTAATAATAATGATTACTTGCAAGCTAACGCTCCCAAACTAGCATTTATTGGAGTTGAGATACCTTACTAAAGTTTTCCAAAATGCAGGATTTCACAAAGCTTAGGCTAGCATAATTTAATTATGACAGGTCTTGAGATACGCAATTCCAATGAACATTTCATAATTTGAATAGCCACAATTTGCTAGATTGGTAAAACAGACTGTGCTATAAATAATAGTTTACAAACGACAAAGGCTTGTTTTGTGTAACACATACTAAGCCAACATAAAATAAGCCATGTTTATAAATTAGTGCAATGGATGAACCACTTTTATGCTTTTTCTAAGCTGCAGAAAAATTTGGCAGAGAACAAGTTTGTTAATCAAATTTAATATAACCTGTTAATTTTGGGGCTCTGGTATCTTACATCAGAAAGAAACCAGAGCATAAATCTCTTTAGTTAGTTAATGACTTTGTCCTCTTTTTTTTCTGGTTAGAATAATTCTATTATTTCAGGTGAACTTGGGTAATCATATTATAGATATCTTACTAATTATGCTCTTTCATAGAAAAACCAGCAGGTGCATTTGCTACTAAGCCAATCTTGGAACTGAGTGTGAGCCACAGCTGCTGGATATTTAAAAATTTTTTAGCTAAACCATTAATTTTGATTGTCATGTACAGCTACCATATTTGCTGCAAAGTTCTGAACAACCAGAAGATGGCAATAAGGAGGTTTGGAATTCAACTAGATTTTTGCAGCCTGATGTCAATAACCCTAGAGTGACCTCAACCTGTATTGGGGTGTGTGTGTCTAATAATACAGAACTACCTTTCATAATCTTTGTAAGAAGCATAGACATATAACTAGAGCAATACAAGAACTAGAAAGTATTGCATAGGCATGGGGCAACTGGAATAACAGAGTTGGAAGGGACCTTGGAGGTCTTCTAGTCCAACACCCTGCTTAGGCAGGAAACCCTACACCACTTGAAGACAAATCGTTGTCCAATCTCTTCTTAAAAACTTCCATTGTTGGAGCTTTTACAACTTCTGGAGGCAAGTTGTTCCACTGATTAATTGTTTTAACTGAATTGATTGTTCTAACTGACAATAAACAAAATCTTCCTATTTTGTCTCTCTCCCGCCCCGCCCCCCGCCCCGCCCCCAAAGCTGGTTCTGCTAGCATTGATATCCTTTCTACAAAGTCAAATGTTTCAGTTTTTGTTTTTATTCAACAGGTAAAAAGTATTCACCCAGAATGCAGAATGCAGCAGGAAATCTATCAAGAAGAAAAAAAGTGTATGGAACGTTTAAAGAATGCCAATACAGTGAGTTCAACAGGTGAGACAATACCTTATAGTAGCATAGCAGTCACTCATTAATGGCCCACTAGCACTTCTATAGTTGCTTACTGGGGACATGATGTGGCATAAAATGGCACGTTGTTCTAAATTATAGTATGATTTGAATTTTGGTTGGTGTCATGCAGAGGAACCCACAATGTAAAAATGGTAGTTTCCTCTTTTCGGAGGTTCTTGGAACCCCTCTGGTGTTGATTGCTGAAAAATGGTAACACATTTTTCCTGCTGTGAAAGATATGAAATTTGAAAGACTTAAAGTTAGCATTTACATTTTTTAAAAAAAGTAAAGCACACATGCAAATTCATTCCACAGCTAGGCACATCTACATATAAAATATGGTTCCATCTGCATTATAGATTGTGATCACTAAAAAATAGTCCACCCCGAGTGAGTTAGCTCTATCTCAACTGGAACATTCGGCATGGTGTAGAACCTTCCTATATGGCAGGGGTGTCAAACTTGATTTCATGGAGGGCTGCATCAGGGTTGTATTTGACCTCATGGGTTGGGGTGGGTGTGGCCAGATCGACGTCACTCATGTGATCAAATGCCACTTTTGTTGGTAGTTTGTTTTGCTAGCATTCTGCCAGTGAAAATTGAGTGCGGCCCTCATGAACTCCGTTTTTGCTGGCAGAGGCACCTCGGGCCGGTCCTTTGCTGTTTCTAGAGCAGTCCCACAGGCCAGATCTAAACACTCTGCGGGCTGGATCTGGCCCATGGGCCTTGAGTTTGACACCCCTGCTTTATGGGGTACAAACTAACAAATGGCAACCAAGAGCTCCATAAACTTTGTCTGCTGCCATCTGTTAGTCATTTGCAGCCCTATATCTTGATCCTAACAAGCAGCTCACCTCGTTGATATAAATAGTCTATACCAGTGGTCACCAACCAATGGGTCGGGGGTCATTGGTGGTCCATGAGAAAAAATTGGTGGTCTGCAGAGAAGTGTCACCCCTAAAGCACCCCCAAAAAGCAATTAATCCAAGCTGTGTGGGAACACAAGGCTGCGCTGCCCCCATGACCCGCGGGAACACAAGGCTTGCATCACTTGCATTGCGAACAACATGAATTAGTGAGTGGGGGAAAGGGCTGAGGGGGGGAAACTTGCCCCACTCACCCCATGTGCCAAGCCTGGCCACCGGGCTGCTTCTTTCCGCTTCTTTCTTCTTCTGCTTCTGGCTGCATGCAAGGAAAGCAGCAAACGTCTTTCTTTCTCTCTCCCAAACTCTGCTGGAAATGAGTTTTTGGGACCCTGCAAGGCATCCTGCTCTAAGGTTGCGCCAGCGCAACAAGTCTCACAAAGACTGATTTCTGACGGAGTTTGGGGGAGAGATAGACTTCTGCTGCTTCTGCTGCTTTCCTTGCATGAAGCCAAAAGTCGCTTTGTCTCTCTCTCTCCCCCTGAGGACAGAGGTGGAGACGGTATCATGCGATCCCAAATAAAGAATGATCGATCAGTAGGAAAACGATCAGTAGGGTAAGGAATTTTCCTGCAGACTTTTTTGGGGATTTTGCCAGGGTCTCTTGGTCCGCAGGATTTAAAATTATGAGTTTGGTGGTCCCTGAGGTCCAAAAGGTTGGCGACCCCTGATCTACACACTCCCGTTAAAATTTCAGGGTTTTGAGATGTAAATCAGACCAAGATAAATCACTTCAGATTTTTTTCCACCTTCAGTGTAATCTGTAAGCTGTACAATTCAGTTGAAATACAAACTGAAATCTTCTGGGGAAAAATAAAATTACAAAAAGTTAAAGTAACATGGTTGCATAAGAGTGCATGTCCTTAAACTAATATTTGTTGAAGCACCATTTGATTTTATGATAGAATTCAGTCTTCTGCAGTAGGAGCCTATCAACATCTTGCCTGGGGTATTTTTGCCTACTCTTCCTTGCAAAAACACTCCAAATTTGTCAGATTGCAAGTGATCTCCTATGCATAGTCATCTTTAGATGTTCAATTGGATTCGGGTCCGGACTTTGGCTGGGCTATTCCAAAACTTTGATCTTCTTCTGTTCCATTGCTTTGCTGATTTGCAAGTATGCTTTGGGTCATCCTTATGTTGAAGGCTGAAAATCTTCATTTTCAGCATTTTAGCAGAGCCGTTTGTGCCTAAATTGACTAATATTTGAAATTCCCTCCACCTTGACAAAAGTCCTGGTACCAGTTGAAGAAAAGCAGCCCCAAAGCATAATGCTGTCACCACCATGCTTCGTTGTGGGTAATTCTGGTGGTATGTACAGTAATGCTATTTTTGAACCAAACATATTTGGAGTTATGGCCAAAATGCTCAACCTTGATCTCATCTAATTATAACTAATTTTCCCACATAGTTTTGTCAGACTTCGTGTAGGTTTTTGTAAATGTAACTAAACTTGTATGTTTGTCTTTCTTTAAACAAAAAAGCTTCCATCTTGCCACCCTATCCCGCAGCCTAGGAAAATAAAAAATATGGGAGATTATTGTCACATGCAGCACACAGTCAATACTTGCCAAAGGTTTCTGCAGCTCATTTAATATTGCTGTAGATCTCTCTGCAACCCCCTGGACAACTTTTCTTCATTTTTTCAATTAGTTTTAGGAGGACATCCAGTTCTTGGCAACGTCATTGTTGTGCCATATTTTCCCCACTTGTTGATGGCTGTCTTCACTGTGTTCCGTGGCATATCTAATGCCTAGATTTTTTTTTGTATCTTTCTCCTAACGGACACCTTCCAACAGTGAAATTTCTTTGATGGTTTTGTAAGCATGTTTTGCAGGTGATGGCTTTTGCTGTAAGAGGCAACTGAGTAAAAATCATAAAAATTCCACTACTGTGTTTCCCCTAGAATAAAACCCATCCCAAAAAGAAGCCCTATCATGTTTTTGAATGCATACACTCAAATTAAGCCAAAAATTAGCCCTAATTAAGACCCCACCTACCCTGGGCTGCAGGGGATGGGATGAGCTAAAAATTGTTAGGGTGTGGATGGGGGAGTGGAGCTGTCCTACTTACCAGGTTTCGCACACTCCTATACCTGCCTCGCTGCCTTCTGCAGCACCTTCTTCTGCAGCTGCTTGCAGCTGCTCGCATGCATCACCCTCAGCCTCCATTTCACTGTGAGAATCTTCCAGAAAGCCCTCTGCACCTGAGAAATGGGCTGCGGATTGTCACACATGGCGCCCCCGGCTTCTGTTTCGCCTTCAGATATCTTCCAGAAAGCCCTCTGTAGCCAATAAAAGAGCTCCTTGGCTTTCTGGAAGACATCTGAAGGCGAAACGGAAGCCAGGGGGCACCTGCACGTCAATCCAGAGCATGTTTCTCTGCTGTAGAGGGCTTTCCGGTGAAACGGAGGCCAGGGGCAATGCATGAGAGTGGTGGCAAATGGCCGCAGAAGAAGTGGGCCGACAGCAGGCTCCCACTGGGTGGGACTGTCAGTGCTGCCACTATGAGGTGAGTCAATTAGACCCACCCGAAAAGAAGCCCTAGCCATTTTTTCAAGGGTCAAAAGAAACTAAGACTGTCTTATTTTCAGGGAAACACGGTAGAACAACTGAACTTGATATGGACTAGATCAGAGTTGCTTTGATTGATGGCAGGTATATATTGACTACTATTTAACATCAATTTGAATGTGATTGGTGATTTCTGAACACAGCCACATCCTTACTTATAAGAAGTTGTGCACACTTATGGTACTAAGTTATTGTAAGTTTTTTATTTTCCCCCAAAAAAATATTTGTTTGTTTTTAGTTGAATTGTGCAGCTTGTAGATTGCATTAAAGGAGGAAAAAATTCTGAAATGATTTATCTTGGTCTAATTTTTTTTTTACTTTTAAAAGAACTGGATATTTAATAGAAGCACGTAGACGTTTTATATCCACTGTAGAAGTATGTAGATCAGGGGTGTCAAACTGGATTTCACTGAGAGCCGCATCAGAGCTGGGATGGGTGGATGTGGGCATGACATGGGATTCGTGTCGGGGCACCTGTGGTAGCCAAGTGCTAAGGCAGGAGTTCCCTGAGACCCTCACTCATTATAATCTCCCTCCTTTCCTTCTTTATTTCCTTCCTTCCTTTTCTTCTTTTTCCTTCCCTCTTCATTCTCCTTTCTTCCTCCTTCCACTCTTTCCTTATTTTTCCTTCCTTGTTCTCTGCATCTTTCCTTCCTTTTGCCTTTCCTCTTTCCCTTTCTCTTTTCCGGTCTCTTCTTGCATGCTCAAGTGCAAAAGGGAAACATTTCTCCTTTTGTTTTGTTTTGTTTGTTTAGATAGTCCTCTACCGGAGAAAATGGAGTGCAGGGAGGTCTCCGTGCTCCATTTTCACTGGCAGAGGCACTGTGAACCGGTCCTTTGCTCTTTCCAGGCTACTGTGGGCCAGATCTATGCACCCCATGGGCTGGATCCAGCCTGCAGGCCTTGAGTTTGACACCTCTGGTGTAGACTTAACCATCAGCAGAAAGTATCCTTGGGAAGTTTCTGGAATTCAAGCATTTTGGCAGGCCTCAGGCTTTTCAGGAAGTCAGGAAACCGGTGGTTGCAGTCATATGTTAGCTGCCATTTTGATTTTGTCACAATGCAATAAGCATTTGGGAAGAAACAAAATCATGGGGTGCTGGAAAATGCTTCATGTGGATCATCCTTGGAAAAGTAGATGATATTACAAGCACGTATTGTAATAAGATTGCACGTATTGTAATAAGATTAGAAACATGATGCTGTAGCCTATAAACCAGGGGTCCCCAACCTGTGGGCTGCAAGGGCATTGCAACCAGGCCATGGAAACGAATGGCGAACGTGCACGCGTGCACATCCTCACTCATGCAAGCAGTGGGCGACCGTGTGAGTGCTCCATTTGCATTAGTGGCAGGCGCATATGCACACCACTTACACAAGTGGAGCTGCGTTGCATGCACATGCCCTTGCGGGCTGTATCCTTTCCTCCCCCTGGCCGGTCCACAAAGCCAGAAATGTTGGGGAACTCTGCTATTAAAAATGATTG